GTAATGCACTACGTTCTTCGATAAACACGGAAATTATCAATAAATATGTCTTCTCTGGTGCATGAACTTTACGCGAACCCAACCGTTGCCTGACAGCGAAGCATCGTGCAGAGCAGGTCACCTCATGGCACATTTTACAGGGGAATGTAATATGAGGCCTCATTGGTCTAGCACCAAAGTCTAATAATGCTACCTTGGTTGCGTAAATACTTTTTTAAATATAAATTATTCGTTATTTCAATTATTGTGGTGTTCTTTTACGACATTTCGATTTTTGTTTCGTTAATTCTGGTATATTGTTGTAATTTGACTATTTTCTTGTTTCAAGTCCATTCCCAAACCTCCAAACTTAGAATCTTTCGTGTTGCTTCGATTTCTTTTCTCGTTATTTAAATGATGTTTTCTGTTTAAAAATACATTTATGCTACCGATGTGGCGCCAATAGACTTCCGTAACCAAGCACTCGATGATGTCGTTTGAATTAGGTCGTGACTTGAGTCGTTGATCAAACACAGACGCCGTGTGTATTCGTGGATGATGGACTACAGTTTAAACAAAACCGGGAAGTATTCCTCATCGTTGCTGAAGATTTTATCCCGAGAAGTCTTCGCAGAGTACAGTGCCTGTCACAAGAACCGACTAGATGTGACGATAGGTTACAATATGACGCCCCGCTGAGTGTGCATTGTCGCAGATCAACGTCGTTGATATATGACATGCCGTCTTTCTGTAGCCTGAATGTTGCACACTGGAATATTGCATTATTCATCACTCATCAATGTCTCGGACACGTCAGAGGCAACCTCTGCAATGGCGACACCCGACAGAACGTTGTGAAATTAACCATTAAATATTTTCAAACATTTGGATGACCCACAAAGGTTAAAAAACAGTGCGTATCATCGTGTGTTACATTATGTAACGTGTAATATAATGATGCTCACAGGTAATAAGATAACGGTGTATGAATATACATCGATACCTGTGAAGATACGGGTAAGAATTGGTCTTCAGTAACCCATGCTTGTCGTAATAAACAATTAACAGGATCGGGTAGTCAGGCTCGCTGATTTAGTTTACACATGTCAACTGCGTAAATCGATGCTCATGATGTTGATCACTGGCTTATGTTGTCCATTTACAGACTCCTGCAATATAGCTGGGATATTGCTGAGTGCAACAAACAACAAACAAACTAACATTGCATAAATACCATGACTAAAACTTTCCAAAATATTGCATCAGAGACCATATAATAAAGGGACGGCCCTCCCCAACAGTGTATCACTAACCATCAGCGCTACGGCATGGCATGTAACTGATACACATCGACACCCAGCTGCTAACTTCCCTCTACCGGTACAAATGCGCAACAGATGCGCAGACATTCGCAAATGAGCGCTCTGGTAACCACGTAAACAATATTGCGTAATATCCGGGCCGAGAGTTATTTCCCTTAGCGGGATTTCACCGGCTGCGTTTGACAGTTAAACGTTACATGGACAGCTCCAAGAAACTGATGGAAATAATCTTAATTTTTATCTTATCTCTCATTTGCACATGTCAACTGACAACATCGTAGAACATGTATCTATAAGGTGTTTTGGAATCCGTTAAAAAAACATGTGAAATATAGAATAGAGATTTTAAATATTTTTCTTCAGATCATACAAATTCTATTTTAACAAAATCCACCGAAACAGACCCCATTTCAGTGTAGTGGAAGAAAATCCGTAAAACTAATAAAAAGGAAAAAGCCGGAATCATATGTGTTTTGGGCTTTCGTCACTGTTTAGAAAGTTGCAAAAAACATCAAGTCCTACAAAGTGCTTCATCAGATGCAGTGAACATATGCAAAGAATGTTACCATGACGATGCCCTTTAAAATGTAAAGAACATTCCATTAATATCAAATTGTATTCTCATATCAAAGAGATGTAATCCCTAAGGATAAGTATTTTCAGTTATGTATATAAATACCGATCCGTTATGGGGGCTTTTAAAACGGCCATCTACTTTGCATTGAACATGGACTAGTCATATATATGATCCATTGTGTATATATGTGATGATCTTCTTCTGAAGTTTCCTTCATGTATTTGTGGGGAAAGGCTTGATTGCTGTGGTTTCCTTTCTGTGACAAATAGACCTCGTTTCTTCTTGAGATTAAAAGTACCTTTTGAAACTGGACACAAATATTCTTGCTCTAGAGCATCAGTAGACAATGCTTTTAATTTGGAGTCAGAAATGCGGCAACGGAACACGACCAGAGACAAGTATTCAGTGCCGAAATAACTCCAAATAATTACACTCTGTCGTGTTGGCAAAGAACATTGTAGGTCCACATTATCTTTTATGTAATTTGTACTGAAACCTGACTGCATGTAGAATGTCTTAATGCAGTAAATAAGATTATTCTTAAAGAGCACAAGCATGAAATACGTGTATATGTTAAGAAGCCGCCACTGACATTGTTCTAATGCGTAAAGCAAAAGTAACCACCTCAAGTTTATTGATAGGTTTGAAATGCATGATTCAGTTTTTATCTTCTTTAAATGAACCCTTTTATATTAAGCTTACGTCAGTTCTGTTTTCATGGAAATCTGAAAAATACTCGTTCACAGAGAACTAAACAACAATGGTCATGTGTAAAGTGATCTATGTGCACTCTTTGTTGAAGAAGTGTTAAACAGTTTTCAAATTAAGCTCCTGGAACAAACTCTGCAAAGTCGAACTTGTCATGAACAGGGGAAAATAATATCAATATTAACAATATTTTCAGAAATCATGAATAACCTCAAAGTGTATGTCTGACAGAAATACAATATTACACTTTTATGCACCTGAAACGAAACTTTATCCACTTTGTCGCAGTGGATGCAATGCCATACAGTTAACCTTGAAGATATTTCCATCATGTGGGCTGTCGATCGGTTCCTTTTCTGTTATACGTAGAGATGAATGTCCACTCGGCTATCTCCTGCAGCTGACTTCAATGTATTCGAATCCTTGAAGAATTATATCCGGCATTTTTTCGTTACCCTATACATAGATTTGGTGATATACTACACTGTTTAAATGAGTGAACGAGTGAGTGAGTGAATGAAAAACACCTGTTATTTTCAAAATATACCACACTGTGAAATTAAATAAGACAAGACACAGACAAAAAACGTAAATTACACAAATGTGACATTGACATGTATTTCCAGGTATACTGTTGATTGTTACATACAGTGAGTTGACGACAGCCAGAGATGAAAGGCCCAGACTTCGAAAGTCCTACAAATAGAAGTACACTTCAAATACATAACATACCTTAAATAGGTCACGATAGCAAAGGGGCGATAACTATGTTGGCATAAATCCACACGACTACTTCAGAGACAGGTGAGTGGGTTGGATTTTACGCCGATCTGGACATTATTCCTGATGTGTGGTGCTGACAAACCTAAAAGCAGAACAGTAGCGAAAGCAGGATTCAAGCCCATGATCCAGGGTTTCTGGCGTGCCAAAGGGAAGTAACTCTGCCAAACGAGCTGCTTCTCCTCGGGCAGCTTTTCCATTGGTGTCACTTTCAAAAGTTATGCAGATAATGATACTTCTGTCTGCCGAAGCAAGCGAGCTGCTTCTCCTCGGGCAACTTTTCCATTGGTGTCCCTTTCAAAAGTAATGCAGATAATGATACTTCTGTCTACCGAAATAGTGAAGACAAGCTGTTTAACCCTTGAAATACTGTACTCCGTGAACATGATTTATCGATGTAAAGAGCAGGAACGCCATGCACACACAACTGTGTTCCAGCTATTATTACGATCGGGACTGCAACCCATAGATGCCATACAGTGCAATATCAAGAGCTCGAAATCCAATACTCCTTATGGTTCTTCAGACGATTGTACTTCATGACTCAGACAAGATTTAATGTACATCAGGATTTTCTTACTAGTCCATGATATGAAAACATAGTAGCTTTATCTTACAGAGCCACCATCCTCGGTGATTGCCAAGTAGGGAAGGTCCCGCGAGGCGTTGGGAATGCCAATGCTGAAGGGTCTCTATTTTGTCCGATCGCTCCAGTGTAATTGAACTAATGCTCAGGGCGCCGTAAATTACACTTACTCACTCACTCGACTGCTAGACATGTAGTACGGGAGCTAAGCCAAGAAAAATATTTTTGTTCAACACCTTCTACATAAAAGGTCTGACTACACAGTTTGATCCAAAGTCAAAAGTCAAAGATCTTTATTATGCATGAAGGCCACCGGCCCATATACATATAACATATGTACAATCAAAATATATTGGAAACATGATGTAAAACAATTAAGGGTTTAACAAAGTCTGTCTCTTTTTATAAGCAGTATATATGAATTTGCATAGATTTAATAATGCTTCATTTGAAGGAGAAGTTAGCAGGTTTTTGAATATAAACATATTTGGAATGCGGTTGTAAATATGTGGAAAATAATAGAATCTTTCTTCAGAATAATATTTGCATACTAAAAGAAAATGGAATTCATCCTCTATACCGAGTTTACAGACAGGACATGTGCGTAGAGATACATCAATATTTAACCATCTTCCTTCATTTATTTTTAATCGTAATAGGCCTGCTCGGAATTTTATAAGAATATTACGATATTTGTTTTCATGTATAACACTTAAATATTTTTCCGGTTCTAGTAAACACTTACATTCTCTATACAAATTGTAGCGTGAACTGTTGTCGAGAGTACAATGCCAAGATTGGTAGAACATATTTGCACATACATCTTTAAAACATCTAAGAAAATCAACCTTATTGCCTACACTTTGTGCTAACCATACAAAGCCAAATCCATGTGAAAAAAGTATATTACGAATATGAGAAGCATAATTATTTTGCCTAATGTTATCTAAATATACTGACATGCCATATGATTTTTTTGGTATTCTACCAGAGTGCATTTCTGTAAGCTTTAGCCAATATTTAATAACTCGACATAAGGCATTTATATACAAAGGATATCGTCCACATTCACCATATGTTATAACATTAGGCGTTTGTAATCCTACATTTAGAAGCCTCTTACATGCAAGCAAATGAACTTTTTCAATATTCTCATAGCGGCTAATCCCCCATACTTCCGCACCATAAAGTAAAATTGGTTGAATTTGTGAATCAAATATTTTAAAGAATACCCTAGGATCAACCACATCAATCTTTCGTAAAGTTATATAGTATTTGTAACAATGCTCTTTTTTCCTCTCAGTGCTAGATCGTCTGTACATTTATTCATTTTAAACGTGGATGAAAATATAATACCAAGATATCTATATGAATTCACAACGTCAATAACAGAGTCTTTATGATACCATATTTCTTTAGCTGATAATCGCCCACCCCTTCTAAAAACAACAATATTGGTTTTATCGAGGTTAACGTCAAGTCCCCATTTATCAGAATATGATTCTAAGATATTCAATTGTTTTTGTAGTCCCGAAGCAACGTCAGATATGAGAATGACATCATCTGCAAAAAGTAATAGCAATATCTCTAAAAAAATCAGGAAACAGCTGTACACCAAATTTACCACTTTCTACAATATCAGTACACAGTTCACCAATAAAAAATGAAAAAAGAAGTGGACTTAAAATACACCCTTGTCTTAGACCGACTGGGCAATCAAAATAATCTGTATAAACATTATCATTGCATCTTACACATGCTGTAACAGATACATATATACTTTTTATTGCAGCCAACATTTTGCCATTTAATCCAGAGTTTTGAAGACAGTACCAAAGTTTATATCGTGAGACGGAATCAAAAGCTTTCTTAAAATCTACGAAGGCAACATATAATTTCTTCTTTTTTCTTGATAAGCATTTCTGAATTATTGCATTTAAGGTGAAAACATGATCAGTTGTAGAATACTCTTTTCTAAAACCGGCTTGAAATTCAGGTATTTTATCTCTTATCGTAGCCCAAGTTGTAAGTCTGGTATGAAGAATCCGTGTATATTTTTTGCTGAGTACACTTAAAGGGGAAATCACTCTGTAATTATCGGGATTACTTCGGTCACCCTTTTTATGTATAGGAATTATTATTGCTTTAGTCCAGTTTTCAGGGAAAACACCTTTTTTGAAACAATGTATTAAAGAGTTTTCTAAGAAATGGTAAAATAATATGTGTAGAACATGTAAGCATTTCTACAATTATACAGTCATTACCTGGAGATTTACCTCTTTTTAGATGATCTAAGGCTGATATAATTTCAGAATCAGTGAACTCACATTCAAGAATAGTTGCATCAATATCATCAACACAATCCTTATCATCTTGACATTCCCAAGTTACTGTATCACTGAGCACAAGTCTATTAAAAACTGTGTTAAAATGATTTAGCCACACATCTTTATTGATATGAGGTGATTTCCTCCAGAGATGGATCAGAGCTCTTTCCAAAATGATTTTGGGTCCGATAATGTTGTATTTAATCTGTTTCTCCTTTTGAGCTTAAACATGGCCTTGGACTTTCTACATATATTTTTATAGTCATTCCTTAGTTTGCAATACGTGCTTCTTGTTTCGTTTGATTTATGTTTTCTGAGTCTTCTCAAAGCACGTCTTGCTTCTCTTTTAGCAGATTTACAATGATGGTTATAGAATGAATTATTGACGATATTTTTGTTTCCAAGAGGCTTTTTCATACAATCAGCAGCTCCAAGAATGACAGATACAAATTCATCGACTTCATAATTAACATCGTTCTCTATATGATCTTTGAGTTCTTCATTCCTCCACAGACAACTTAGAGCTTGTAAATATGCATCAGCCTTGTTATCATCCCACCTATATCTAAACTCATCTTGTAATTGTTCATGTTTACAGTTAGCATCATTGTCTGTCACTTCAGTAGTACACTTTGAATGTAAACTCACTGGCATATGTTTCGACTCAACACGAGTATCAATGTGTATGTATTTACAGATTTGATGTACATCAACAGAACTAATGAAAAAATCAATTACACTACATCCTTGGTTTGAAATATAAGTGAAATTGCCATCCCAATCTCCATTTGTTCGTCCATTAAACAAGTACAGATTGTGTGCAAAACATAGGTCTAAAAGCTTACGACCAAACGAGTTTATAACATTGTTGCATGAGTGTCTCTGGCCCAGTAGCACAGGATCTTCATCCGGGAAGGCACTTCTGTCAAATCGTTCAGTGTCAAATGTCTCAGGTGGGCTGTTACCACTACCAACTCTGGCGTTCAAGTCCCCACAGATAATAACTTCTGCGTTCGAGTCACAGTGTTGAGTGAGCCATTCATCTAGCTTGTCGATGGGGTTGGATTTATCGACTGTAACATAAAATGTCGAGATGGCACGAGGGGCATACATTCCTAGTATGATGATTTCTTTATGTTTAATGACAATGTTTTTCTCTATCTTGAGACATACAACATTGCTTATGTCAGACACAGGAGAGCCTACTGAACATTTCTAGGTTCTATGTAATCCCAAATTATAGTGTAGGTAAAAAGTTAAAGGCATTTTAATGGAAGGTACCCATTGTAAAAACTATGTTCATTTAATAGATACATCTGCATAGTGAGATAGATGCAGCATCTGTAATAAATTTTACATGTGTCACAGCATTATTAAACAAAGTACAGAATTACTTCAGTGACCAAGAAAGATTTCTAGTTGTAGACAATTACTATATAAGACAAAAGGCAGCCGTGACGGCCATTTTTCAAAATGTCTGACATTTGGCAAATTAACCATACTGAAAAGTGCATGGTAGATACTAATTATGACCTATGATTGCTTTTATATGTGTAATTCACACATACAACTGAACACACTTAGTGTATTTGAGTGTTTTAATAATTCCTTTATATAAATCCAGTCAAGACGTAATATCTGTTTGTCATAATAGACATTTTACATAATGGTCGCCCCTCACCACCTATTTTTTATCAACGAAATATATGGCTTAACAACGAAGTACTTCATTGACATATAATGTTTTGTTCATGCATTTTACAATATGTTAATGGCAATGCACATTTTTAACGCATAAACAGGAAATTAGCAATCTAAAGGTTTAACATCAGTAGTAAACTTAGGGTCAGAGTCCAATTCTTTTATGAATATTTGGAATTGCGTCGCATCTGGTAAGGTATCTGCACATTTATTCTATAAATATATAGAGACAAAGTGTACACGTGTTTAACATAGCGTTCCTTTCTCATTGTAAGACATCTGAATAACTGGACTCTGTTCTCTATCAAAATCACCCATCCCTTGTACTTGGATTATAACACTCATCTTCAGAAACAAGCACCAGTGCAAGATAGTTCAATGGCACTGCATGCACATGTTGTTGTGCGGCATGCTGACCGTTTACAATTGCAGAATGTCAATTCCAACAGTCCTTCGAGAGGGGGATGCTTTGTCACCAACACAGGCTGAATTAAACCATATTTTGTCTCTCAACCATGGCCATCAACAGAAGGAAGATCATGCATGGCTTGCAATGCCCTTTTCCAGACAGAGACTTGGTTGTTTGCTCGTTTCACGTGCTGGATAAGGCTGTTTGAGGTTGGCGGTAATCTTTCATTGTTGAGTTGCTTCTTACAGTAAAGCCAGTACCTGACACCATCTGCCTTCTTGCCAGCCCTGTCATCAACTGTATGGAGACCGCAAATGAATTCCTCACAAAGCTAATTCTTCCCCTAACTCAAGGGATTCGCCAAGCTGTACTAATCTGATTTGGTGAACATAACTGTTCAGTAGAAATGGCAATGCCTTTTTCTTTCCTAGTCCTGACAGTGGACTGGTTGAGTCACATCCGGTTAGTGCATGCAGTGATGCACCTAGAACTTTGCAAACGTTTGATCTTGATTCTTGAGCAAAGAGAATGAACAGGTACAAACCTCAGCTTGTCTATAATGCCTGTATGGAACCGAAGTTCTTGACACTCGAGATCAGTAAAGGGAAACGTACAAAACATAACAACATCTGTATCTGGTAACCGAATCACAATCCTTTGGTTTTCAGAAGAAGCATGTTTGGCATGTAAGAGGGGCCGGGTGTCTACTTGATGTCAGATACTGGGCATCCTCATAATGACCCTTTGTTATCAGTACAGCTCTTTTTTCCATCACTTAAGCCACCACCCAAGACTAATTGCTCAGTGGCTGTGATGTTGTCTTGGCCAATACGTGTCCAGGTTTCTGACAAGAAATCATAGAGGTTCTCTTTGTTTGTTTTTAGGGTTGCTGATGTACTTCTGTCACTGTCTGGGAATTGGAGTTGTTGGACAGGTATACGCTTGTATCAAACTGTCTAAAGTGTCCTGAAGCATCACAACTCCAGTAGCAATGTTGATAAGAGGCATTGTGTCACCAGATACATCATGAAATGATAACAGATTTGTCATCACCCCTGATGTCAAGCATGTAATTAACTGCTGGACATCATCTTCATCCCGCTTAAATCTATTTTGAGCTGACTCCTTGTGTGTACCCGCAGTCACTGCATGTTCAAGACATGTTTGAAACCATCGTTCTACTACTTCTGTTTTTTTAGTTATTCCAGTTATGACCCCATGTGCTTTGTCTCCAAATTCACAGTTTGCTCAAGTGCCATATCTGTCCATATCTGGGCAAACGGTTGACAAGATCGGCTGATTGCATGGTACCATTTATGAACTCTTTATGCAAGTCTGAATGTCTCTCTGATAGGAGGTTCATGTCCGAAAGGCACACTGGTAACCATCTTGAGTTGTTCTGTCTGTCCATAGCAAAGAAATATGGAGACAGTGCAGCAGTGGATGATAGGTGTAGTGCCCATATACCTGTCATCTCCGCCTTGATGAACCGAAGCGTTAGCTAAACTACTGGAATGTAATAATCCCAAAATGCATATGTTTGGCTCTTTGTTTACATGTGATTCCGGGAAGTGGTAAACTGGAGAATGACTGTTTGGATTTCATCTACAAGCTTCAGAACTGATTCTTGAAAAGTCATGACCTTCCTTTGCAGCATCTTTGATGGCCAATAGTCTTGTCAACACTGGATTGTTCATTAACAACACGTTTCCCCTTGTTAATCAGCCAGCTTACAAATGTTTGCCATTGTAAATAAAAAAGGGCTGAATTCCCTGATTGTGGAACTTTCCATTCAGAAGGGCAGTGACTGGTCCACTTGTATAAACACCACTTTCAATGAGAAGATCTGGATAACTGATTCTTCATGTCTATACCCAAGAGTTTGAGGAAGTTGGTTGCAATGTGGAACCCACCCATGTGTATGACAGTGTCAGAATTTTTTTCTGGAAGGTGACTTTGGATTTCTTCGGCTTTTACATAGATTGCAAAGTCAAATGTAATGGCACTGTCATGCTGCTGAAGGCTGGATATCATGGTCGAACTGACTTCATTAATGTATACACAGTGCTGAACGCTGTGGAAGCGCCATCAATCATCGGACGATAACAACGTTGGTATGTGTAGGAACAGTTGAGTGTACCATAGCATGGACACCACTCCAGCTTGGCACAACCTGCTACTCTGCTTTAACTGGAGTAAGTTCAGCATCACATTTTTGTTGGACACATGTGGCAAATGCCCATGCCAGATTCAAACTGCAGCTTGATAGAAGTAAATCTTCAGTATCAGTGAACCATACATTTTCTGCTTGCCTCACATAACTGAGTGTGCGTTTGCCGTGGGTGTTAAACTCCCGCATGATCTTGCACATTCTTGTAGACTGAAAAGTCCGTTTCCTCTGAGAGTGATCACCATATACCATGCGTGGGGCTGTTGGACCCAACTGACTTTTCTGGTATAGAAACATGGTTGTAGCATATGATGTGTGTTTTCCATCAAGTCTCTCTTCAGTAAAGTCATCTGCAGCCTCTTGAACAAAGACACCAGGTATGATGTCGGTAGGAATTTCCTCAGCAAGACAAGTGTCTATGATTTCAGCTTGATCGTATGAAGTACAGTGACCCATTCTGTTCAGCCTTGTGATCATCTGCTTTGAGCCTGTAACGTGATGAACTGACAGTGTTCCATCATATTTGTCATGGTCCAGGCAAGGCAAGGGACCAGTCATTATTCACATTTATATCTATTTCCAGAGACATATCAGATTGTGACAAACATGCATTGTTAAAAGCTTTTAAAAATGCTAAGACAAATATTTTCATTTTTTTGAGAATATTTATCCTGTTCTCAAAATATGATTGAGTTTTTTAAACTTGCTTCTAAACTATTATTAAGAAATGTGTTTTGGTTAATATATTACACATTTTCTTGCAATTCGGTGTATTATATTGTTACTATCATCCTTTTCAATTGCAATTGTAGCGATATACATTATATTTTCATTTGATAACTAAACAGAATATTGAAGATTAAAATGTTGGTGGTTTTCACAATTTTTTTTCAAGAATACAAGTTTTTTTCAATAAATTACATTTTTTTCCTCATCTGTATTTATTTGGTGTCATAGAATTAAGTGATTTTGCATAATCTTCAAATAAACTTCACAAAATCATATAATGATAATGAAGATGCTCACTACAAAGAAAGTCCTGGGACACAATGTTGCACCTTCTCTCGAACATTTGCCTGCATTTTGCTATAGGGGTAGGACCAAAGAATTACTCCTAACTTTTTTACCTACACTATAATTTGGGATTACATAGTACCTAGAAATGTTCAGTAGGCTCTCCTGGATCAAACTGTGTAGGCAGACCTTTTATGTAGAAGGTGTTGAACAAACTCTTTTTTCTGAGCCTCCTACTGGACTAATGTATTAAAATCACACATTTGTGCAGCTGGTTTACTCATATAGGTGAGTGATTTACCCTTCACGGCTGATTCAGCTGTCATCCCAGTGAAATGTCTTCAATCTAATTAAGATTTGTGTTAAATCTGAGTTTGACACGTGAGATATCTCCAAATTTGCTGTTAATATTCGATATCGAAAGATTATTAGCAGACAACCCCTGTCTGTGACCTTTAGAAAATAGATTTTGCGACCTTAATTTTTGTTTTTCTGTTGTCATATTAATGAAAATGAAACACTTGTAGAATTAGAAGTTCGCCAACTTTCGCCAAGGTTTCTATATGTAAGCGTTGTAAAATTTGTTGGTATCAAAATAGCAATATTTTATAGGTCTATTCCCAGAGTGGCCTCTCTGGCTATTACGTAATAACCAAATTCAGGGTCCACTCCATTACAACTCGTTAGGAAGGTGTGTACGTGGGGGCCAGTGTGGAACAACTTATTTACTTGTCAAAACAAAGAGTTAATCTGCTACTGTTTGCATGTAAAAAGATATCTGCTATGAAAAAAATTCTGTAAATATCTCATGCAAATTGTCAAATCTTTCGGCCAACTACTATCCCGCCATAATATTATCATTTATTGTCATTTGTACTTCATATGCCGAGGGTATCGGCCTGTGTGTAATAAAGTTCTCTTCTGTTCTGTTCTGTGAGAGGGACATGGCTTCCTATTTCTTAGATCGTGGATCGTTGCTCAACTGAAATGTGTTTTGACGTGTTGCTCCCTTCTCCAAGTGAGGATGTATTGATATGTATATGTTAAGCCATGGACATGAAGAATGTAAATGTATGTATCGTAAAACACTCTTTGGTTTGTTGTGGTGCTTTTTCATCTTGGTGCTCAGAGCTCATTCAAAGCATCACGCCTCCGTGATTAGTCCAACACTATTGGTACTTAAGCTGATTGGATTAAGAGAGGCCAGTAGGGAACACTTAAGTGTTCAGGGGCCACTCTGGGATGGGTTGTTAACAGGCGTGAAAACTCAGGGACCACTGTGTTAAGGGCCACTCCGGGCATAAACCGTTTTATGCACAGAATGGACTATGTACGCCATGTTTGTTTCGTACGTGTAATGAAATGCAACACGATATTTGTGGTTCAATGTCGAACATAACCATAAAACTTGAAATTAGTACTGCTGAATATTCATAAATCGTTATTATATTCTGCAATTTTTGTGAACCTGATGGTGAACAAAAGAAGTGATGGCATCGAAAACATGATTTTAGACGAACGTTTACGAATATCTTTTTTCAGAAATGTTTTTAATTTGTCATCGCGCTATTTCCCTTCACAGATGTACGAATTTAAGGTCGGTTAGATATGAGTGAGTGAGTTTACTTTTACGCCGCACACAGCAATATTCCAGCTATATGGCGGCGGTCTGCAAATAATCGTGTCTGGACCAAACAATCCAGTGAGCATCGATCTGCGTAATTGGGAACCGACGACATGTGTCAACCAAGTCAACGAGCCTGACCACCCGATCCCATTAGTCGCCTCTTACGACAAGCATGGGTTACTGAAGATCAATATTCTAACCCAGACCTTCACAGGTCGGTTAGATATGAGGCCTCGGAATTTAACGATATATATACATGTTCCTAATATGAAACACTTTCCACTGTCAATCACGCAATTCAGATAAATGTTTGCTTTGATGTGAAACTCCAGGATTTTCTTTGGATTATAATATGTAATTTTCTATCTAATATTAAGGTGCAAACTATTGGTTCAACTGTCCCTTACTTAACGAAGACCTAACAGTTTGAAATCGTTGTTTGATCAACATTCTTGAAGTTCAAGAGGAGTCAATAATGAAGCACAAGACTTTATGTTTATTGCATAGACCCACCTTTCGGGGTAGATTCTTACACTTACACCGTTACTAACCTAACTACTCAAAGCCACATCTTCCATGACCACTTCCATCAATATTGTCTTGTGACCCTCTGACCCTCTAGAGGGTCTTTCTTCACACCCCACAGTCACCATTCCACTGTCACCTAGACTGTTTACATACATTCATACGCTACAAACCAATGGGTCAGAAACTGTCTATTCGCCTCCGTTTGCATTCAGACCATTCCTCTTCAGCCATCTCCTTCTAACGAATCTGACAACCTTGCTACTTGTTTCTCCGTCAATTATTAGGAGTCGTGTAGTTCTGCAATAGGGCCTACCATTCAGCTTACATCTCATTCAGACTTTAACCAAGCCAATGAAACTGTCTGAGGATGCGTCGGTATCACATCGTGTCACACGAGAGGCCTCCAAGCGCTGAACACTGTCATCTTATGTGGTCCTGACAGCCCATATACTAAGAATGTGTTCAGTATCACATGTCTACCATCCGTTGGCTTAGTTTACTGACACAGCGGATAGAGTAGATAATTTATTGGCTTCCAAATACACACACGTCTCGGCATTATCAGTTGAGATGCTTGTATAATTGAAGTGACTGACCTGAGTAGGACTGTAATTAGCATCGTTATGTTCAGATGATTCTGAGCTGTTTCTGTTTGTCTGCGATTCGTCACAATGTAAAATTGGTTTGTCTACATACCGCCCCAACACGACAATTTCCAGCTGACAAGTGACCAACCTCCACTCCTCTAACTGGATATTTATTTGTGCAGTTGGATTGCGTGAGAGCAGGACTGTTCTTACAGCTAGAGGTCTTGGCCGGATGTTATACTCTCATAATGGACCCTATACAGTCCATGATCTAATCGGAACCAAGGATACTGGGGGCTGTCAAAGTTTCATTCTCAAATCGCGGTATGAACCAAACTGATATGATTGACTTGCCAAGGTGAGCTTACTCATATAGGCGTCCAGATCATGGTCAGTCCTGTTGGTTCAGTATCTTGGTACCAATAGTAGAATGAGGAATATGGTTGTCAGCCTTGTATGATTTATGGTGAGCTGCTATGTCGGTTAGTTGGTTTCTGGTTTAGCGCTGCACTCAACAATATTCCGGAGCAATATACATTATCGCGTGACTGCACATACAGCAGCTATAGCTGTATCATAACGGCTCTTCAGCAAAGAGCAATATAAATCATCGTATGATTGCATATACAACAAGCAGCTTACATTAGTATCATACTGGCTCTGTAACCTGTATCTGAAACATGCAAACAAAATGTTAAAGGCCACATGCAACAAAAACATCAAACATAATTAAAACACAATTATCACTTATTTATGACATATAATATACATTGCTGATTATTAAAAACATTTAAACAAAATTCTAAGCGTACAATCGCAAATCAAAAGTGCAATATTTTGTACTTGGGTTTACTTCCCAAGAAACGAAGCATCCGGGATACCGAACCCAGTCAGAGCGAGTGGGTGAGCACTCAAGTGTAACGGCTGGTTCATTTGCAGATGCCCACACGGCTCATTGTGTGTGTATATATAGAGATGTTGGGTTTTGTAAATACATGCTCATTTTGCTGTCCTCGCACAAGTAAGACGTCCCAAAAGTTAAAACAACAAAGGTTATGGTTGCTTGCACTGAGATTCACTACACTGTTACCTTCGTTAATTAATGGACTAGTCCAAATGTACTAATCCAAACACAAAGAAAAGAGATTATGACCTTATTTTATATTGTTTGTTTTGTTTTCGGGATTTTTGTTTTGTTTTGTTTGTTGTTGTTGTTTGTTTTTGTTTTGTTTTTGGGGTGTGTGTGTGTGTGTGTGTGTGTGTGTGTATATTTATTGTTCCCAATACGATGAATCCAAGCATATAGAGGAATACAGTACAAACAGGAATTATTGAGAATTTAAAGATTGTAATTTTATATTTTTTTCACTCATTACTCACGTATTAAATGTGAATATTAGCAGAACATAACTCCAGATTCAAAGACAGGTTAACAGTTAGTATTTTGTCAAGTCACCATGGGCAGCAATGCAGGCTTCAATGCGGCGGGGCATACTACTGATCAAAGAAGTTAGAAAGTCGTGGTCCATGCTGTCCCAATATCGGACCACCTCTTCTTTCATTTCAGCAATATTTGTCAGATTTTTCTTATTGACTCTTTCCTTCATAAGTCCCCAAACATTTTCTATTGGAGTTAGGTCAGGGCTATAGCTTGGCCAATCTAATAATGTCATATTTTGGGTCCGAAACCAGGCCTGTGAATGCTTTGAACGATGTTTTGGGTCGTTGTCCTGCTTGAATTTTTTTTTCCATAGAACAAGTGAGCAGATGGAAGTAAAGTCCCTTGAAAATATCTGTGTACCGCTCACTGTTCATATTCCCTTCAAATACACAGAGGGGCGTTGCCCCTAACACAGATATGCCACCCCACACGTTAAATTTCGGACTGTACTTTGGGCGCTGATACAAAGGTTTTTCAGTTTGTTTGGTCCAGAATTTCAGTGTATTAAGAAACAGCCACACAGAACTTTCATCTGAGAAAATCACATTGTCCCAGTTAAAATTTCTATGCTGTAAGCACCAGTTCAACCTTCGCACCTTTTGTTCAGGTTTCATGATCGGTGATGGAATTCCTCGACTTTTCTGCCAACCCATTGCATGCAGCTCAGTTCTAATTGTCTCCTTACAGACAGCCACAGTTCCTCTATCAATCATATCTAGCCTTAAGTTTTCTAAACTCCTTCGTTTGTTTTTAGAAACAAAAATACCAAGCCGCCTCCTGTCACCGACAGTCCATTTTCTGGGCCTACCTGCGCCTCCCTGGTGCTCAGTGCTATATCCATTTGCAATATTTTCAAAACAAGATAAACAGTGGACAAAGGGATGCTTGTTCTACTTGAAATCACTTTAGCTGATCTGATGTCTTTGTTATAATACTCTAAAATCAACTTCCTCTTCTCTAAATCATCCATACTGAGGATCACTGAAAATGTCGTCTGCTAGCAAGTAAACAAAGGGGGATAACTCTTCACAAACTAATGAAAAAGGATTAACGGAGTTGTCTCTTTTGAATGAAACCAAGCACTTGATAGCTGGTCAAGGTTGTTTATACTAGAAATCCAATTAAACGTATTCCTAAAATTCTCAATAATTTCTGGTCATACTATATGTGTACAAAACAGCTTGTGGGCTCAGATGAGATTTAGTACATGAAACATCATATGCCAATCAAAATCAATATATCAATATCAAAATAACAGTTTATCATAAGAAATCTTGAACCTTTATTTTATATTGTTTATGTTGGAAAAACAATGTTAGGAAGGAATCGAAGTAACTACATTAGGTTAATGAAAACTCAAAAACATAAAAAATCTATAATCCTGTTTTGATCAAAGGGAACATCGTAAAAACAAGCATGCAAAATCTATAATCTTGTTTTGATCAAAGTGAACATCGTAAAAACATGCATGCAAAATCTCTTACCCTAGTAAGATTATTTCTGTGTTCCTTCTTTGTTAACAAAGTTAAATATTTTTCTGGGTCTAAAAGGCTTTTAAATTGTCTGTACAGCTTATACCTTGAACTTTCTTCAATTGTACTATTCCATGCCATATACATGTCAACTGCAACTTGTTTAAACATTTGAAGAACATGGGATTCATTACCAACACCTTGAAATAACCAAACATAACCAAATCCATATGAAATAATAAATTACGCAAAGATGAAACATAGTTATCAGAACCACAATTATCGTAATACATTAGCATATCATAAACTAATTTGATCGTAACTTCCATACTTTAACATAGACTTACGACAGTCGTAGCGCCCTGATCAAAGTATTTCTGTACAAATGTGAAACCATCTCGTTAGTGTATGGGACAGGTTCATTATATCAGTGGGTAAGACTAGGTTGTAATCACAGTCACGCCTGATTGATTTGTCTGACAATTGGGATGTATGACTTTTGGGAGTAAACCCTCATTTTTTGTGTATAACATTTTGCAATCAACAGACATCATAACATGTCAAGTGTTCAAGTATCACACCTGCCTGTCTGTCTAATTACATAATGTGACAGAATGTGGTCAGTGATCGAAGTTGTGTATTGAATATTGTCATTAGCAGACAGGCAGGCAGACACATGGGTGTCAATAAAACAGACATTGAGTTTTGTCTGTGACAACGACATATCTATATCACAGTTAGAAATTCTGTCAACGCTAAATAATGACATTGCTTTTAAGTATCGAATCGAGAAAGTGACTCGGTAAGAAGAACGTGTGGTTAAATAGACAAATGAAATTATCTAAACAGTTAAACCGGTAATCTACTGTCATAACATATAAAAAGCTCGCGCCTGTGAAATATCAACAAAACATTAGAAAAATAGCTCACACCAAAGCCTTCACCGAGTATTCACCGGACAACCCGCTTCCAAGCTGCGCGAACATATTTCACCGCGCATGTGCTATGAGTGCAGCCCAGCGCAGCGCAGCCCAACTGTTGAAACCACTTTTTCCCCAAGCGCTGGGGGAAAATTAGTGAATCGTTTGAACTCCGATTTCGCGCGGTTTTTTTCATCGCGTTATTTTTCAACTTTATAAGTTGAATTTGCATTTTTGATGATTTGTTTCGGTAAGTCCATACCGAAAGGTAACAGAATCTGCAAAGTTGTGTTTTACGTTGCATGTGACCTTTAAAATACTCATAAAGATTTGATTTGCACATAAATATAATGTAATGGCCGTGCTTGCAGTGGAACGAGAATGAACAATTCAGATCTTCAATCTCAATCAAAATAGCCCTTGGAGAGTAATTGGCTTGATGGAATCGGAAACATTAAAGTACACTGTTAGGTGGAACCCCAGTTCAACATTCACAAAAACACATTCTAGACTTTTGGGCAACGACTGATTCCTTTTTGAATGAGATATGTTGAACTCAATCCCTTTCCACTGTATAAGAAACCATTAATCAAGCATGTTACCCAAAAACTTGATATGATAAGTAACATTATTTTTCTTAAATGAAACATCTCTCTTGAGGTTGTGTACTATGTGACACGATCAATACCTCGTTCTTGCTAGCATTCTCTGATTCAGGAAAGATTAACTGAGGTGCTTGAAATATCTTCCTATATTACATCATAATGCTGGCCATTCTGTTGATTTTCAGAGGAGAAATGCTAGGACATATATCTTAAACCATCAACGACATTCAAATAATGTCTTGGACCCGTCACACGTACAACACAGAATAACAAGCTATGAATGTTCCTTATTTAGAGATTGAGGCATTCAATGACCTAACCTTGAAAGTTGTTGCTATTTTGTAAAGATTTGGCGAGAGAGAAAAAATAGATGAATAACCCAGAAAATGTATTAAACTGCTGGCAAGACATGGGGTTTAAACCCGTAACGCATGCTGATTCAGATTCAGATTCAGTTTATTCGGTAATTCTGGCCTTAAGGCCTACATTACAGTTGTTGATGTTACAAAATACTATGCAAGTCACGTGAACTTATGGTTACATTCATGGTTACATTTATGGCTACGCACAGTGAAAACATGTTTGAGATAAATTGCTCCAGACTTATCAATCATAATATTCTTAGAATTTAACAAATTTGACAGTAAATGTTTCTCTAATACAGTGTTCGAAAGAAATGGCATATACTTTTTTCGTAAACTTAGATACTTGGTGCATGCAAACATGACATGGAACTCATCCTCTATAACGCCTATAGTACAATTAGAACAGATCAAATCATTTTTACATTCTGTAGAAATACCATGTTTACGAGCCCTATTTACACAGAAATCATGAAAACCAATTCTTAATTTACATAAAGCTCTTATCAAAGATTCATGAAAATTTAAGATATACGATTCTGGTTCTAGCAACGACTTATGAGAGGCATAATATTCTAAATATCTAGAATTACTAATGGACATAGACCACTCTTGAATGTAAATATCACATAGGCGCTATTTGAAAAGAGAAATAACGCATGCTGAGTGATAAGCAACATGAGGATCACAAAATGTGACATGGCCGACTGTACTTCATCGTATCCCGCCGGCGATTTTCATCCTACAAAAACGAGTGTTCCTGGCATCATTGTTAGAATTGCCTTAAGAAATGTTATCCTGACACACTGCGACCACTCTGTATGACAATAATCAAAACACATGACAGCATTTCATCACCAGATAAGATCTGGTAAATTCCTTTGATGAATGCACTTCTGAAGCTACATCTCTGCAACGGTATGACTTCAAGGATCTGGACTGATCCCACTTACACTTTGTCCATTACAGTATATCCTGTGTAATGCTGTGACATAGAAAACCTAATTACTTCTTTCTTCTGTATTACAGCTCCTTGCCAAGAGCTAACATGAGTGTGCGTTTCTTGGGCAACTTTTCTTCTGTAGTATTCCGTCAAGCTACTGAGCTTTGAGAAAAAATGCCTGACTTCTCTTTGTCGGAACATCACTCGTGATAATTTATCTCAGTTGTGTTTATGTTTTTCTCAAACTATGGTAATTTTCTCGGAATGAAGATATTTCCATAATTAAACAGATACCGTAGCGTCCTCATTCGTGATTTATAACGTGAAATACCAAGTCCGTCTTGTAATCCACGGCAACCGTTGACACTGGTTAGGGTATCTTTAGTGGAGAGGACCCATCGATATCAGATGAAGAGAGACTAAATACAAGAATCACATTTTCTGAATGCACAACTACATCTGTACTTAACTGTACATCAACTGTACTTAAGTTGATGAAAGATACATAACCACTTACGTCATGCAATAATCATAGTGTGCTTTGATATGCCTGGAATACTGCTGAATTGGCATTTTTGATCATTTGTTACTGTAAGTCCACACCGAAAGGTATCAGAATCTGCAAAGTGGTATTTTACGTTGCATGTGACCTTTAACTTACACATTTTCTCACGCACATTCGCAAACAATTTCTAATAAACTCTTGTCACTGTTTGTAATACTCACGCCTTTTTGCTCTCTGGCGTGAATGTTCTATATTCCCAATGTTTTGGGAATACGATTATGTGTACCAGACCACGCATCTTATTTTAGAGTTTAATGAGGATCCAGTAGCCAATTATGGACTGTAAAAGTCTGTAACGTATTGTCCGCCGCACGCTGGCTACTGTCAGTTTCAATCATGCCGATAGAACGAGGACAGAGCGCGATGAAGACGCCACATCGCCAGAAGTTGAAACCAAGTAAATGTCAATGGCATGATAAGCAGGGTGAGACTTGACATTGTTGTTTTAATTAGAACTTTGAATAATTTTGTTTGGAAACACACATTTTGCAGCAATGCTCTTTCATACCAGGCAACTATATATTTTTTTCTGAAACATATGTACCTATCGGGCTTGGGCTTCCTCGGTGAAGACATCATGAAACTACTGGAGAAGTTCAAACAGTGAACATGATCATTCACTAAATAACTACTCCATCTGTCATGGTTGTGCATGTATCAAATGTCAAAGTCACGTCGAAAGTTGTTTACTCTTGGAATGAATCTCATAGCGTTTTTATGCGGACAATAATGTCAGTGTGATATTTACAACAAAATGTCGGCAGTAAGAATTGTGTTTCAAATGTGATTAGCAAACTTTGAAATACAAGGCTAACGAGTGTTTGGTATGTATTTGAAACAGCTTGCTATAAAAATCTTGTGTTTTGGGCGTTGTGATTTTAGAAAAAGTAATCCGTCTTTTTTCATGGATTGGACATAACTTAAAGAAGGTATTCTTTTGCAGAGGTTACTCTTTGGAGTTAATAAATTCTCTTGTCAAATGGAACATATTTGATTTCATTGTGTGCATTAGTCTCGACCGCCGTCAAAAAAGCCGGAATGTTAAAACAACAGACAGACAACATTAATATCTTGATTATGTTTCCCAGACATTACACAGAAAGACTAACTGCATACAAATTTTATATCAACTACATTAAACAACGTGTGCGTTTATAACGAATACAACGAGTAGTCATTTAGGATCCCAGCCACTTCATGTATATTTTATTCCAAGTGTCATTTGTTTTCGTCCTGTGAAAATATTTTAGTCGAAATGCGTATAACGAACAATGGTTATGACGAACTACAATTAGTGTTTTATTTGGGTTCCTTATAATCATAGTTTACTGAGAATATTTCTCTGGCTTTGTCTAAAGAAAGAGAGAAACGTACGTCATTTTCACGTTCCCTGGCCTTTGATAATGCGAGTTAACCAAATCATTTAAAGACAAACGATGCTATGTCCAAGTTAGAGAGACGCTTTCCTTGAAGATTGGTAATATTTCAAAGGTAAGGCACGATGACATGGGTGATGCATGTTATCGTGGCCTATAGGAAAAATTGATGTGTATGGTATTAATCGCTGGGTTGTCTGGTCTGGTTATTTTCACACACTGTAATAATATATATGGATCATCGCTGAATGAGTCGTTAAACAACAAAACAAATATAAATATTATAATTGACTACTAATTCTTTATATTCAACGTTTATTCTCTTGATCTCTTTTATTGGCATTTTAGAAGATGGTGAGTAGCGATAACGTCTAGCTACTGTATTGACGGCAACTTTTATATTATATTCTTATGCAACGTTTCAGCATCGATTCCTTTCTCGTCGCCTTGCTTAACAACGGCATCGGACTTTATTGTTTATTGTCGTATTTGTTTGAAGAATGGCTTTTGGCTTTTTGTTCAAAATAACTGTTCTCACTTCAGATTCCGATAGCAGTTAAGTTGTTTATGTTTCGGCATACAACCTTTCACTGTCTTCACGTTCATATCAAACGTTTGTCGGCATGAGCTGAACACTGGTGTTAATTACAGCTAAAGATGTTACTTTTATGGGATAACACTCGTTTATACGAGATCTTAAGTTGTTAAAGATGATACATACCTCTTTAAACCAGATACAACGACAATAAAGGAGAAACACCTTGTCTGTTGAACTCTGGGGTTTATTACTGCTGAAAATATTACTTTCATAGGATAACACTCGTTGAAACGTCATAGTAAGGTTTCTTAAAAGGATACAGCAGTTTGATTTAAAGCACATATTAGACGAGATATTGTTTTGGCATAAAATTTCTTTATGTTTCATATAGGCGTTGTATTCCTATCCTGGTAAGGCGACAGTTTGTCTGTTTTTAAATCCCGTTCCTTTCACTATTCACTGTGATCATGTCAAGATTTCTTCCCTTGGTTATTCACTTTGCACAATACACATCTTGAAATGTATTAGATTATCTGGTATGTTTTTAAACAAACTTGCTTTATTATTCCAGGCAAATTCTTAACAACTTCTTAAATAATCTGTAACATTATTGTCATATATGTCCGCATAAACATATACACTTTGTTCACTTCAATTCATGTATGTTTTGATTGACTGTGTTGAATTCTCCATCATAAGGGATAAATATTTCAGTGTGCAAACAGTTAAGGATCTTTTACTACTGTTAATTCTCATTTAATTATTGTTTTTTTAAAAGAAATTGATTTCATTGATGAATTCTGATTAATAGGTTCTGTAGATAGATATATTTAAATGATTGGTAGTTTAGATTAGTAACTTAGATTTTTAGTGGCTGTACCCTCAAAGGGGGTTGAAGTATTGTAAAAATATTGTCCTCCTGAGAGGGTACATAAGTCCCAATGCATTCCCAGCAAATTTAAACCTACCACTATTTGTAATCGTAGTATATGTGTTATTTTAATCTATGGCTAGATTTATCTAAATTGCTAACGGCTGAAGGGATGGTGTAAATCCAGCTAGGGTCCGTGCAGGTAGATGAGTACTGTAAGTCCCCACGGTCCCTGGCATGGTGATCTACCTTCAGTTGTTGGCAATACATAGCCTGTTTTTATATTGTGTTGTCCTCTATAGTTAAAGTATTTTAGTGTTAATTACTAGTTTTAGATTGAAATGTGTGATACACTAGTTGTTTTACTGTGCTTTGCTGACAGGTTTTTATAATTTACCTTTATTAATTGTAAAATTATAACTTGTTTGTAGTCACGATATGGCTGAAATATTGCCGATGTGACTTAAAATCTTAACTCACTCACTCATGTATGTTTTGACAAATGGCATCATATTTAGGGCTATCAGTAATGTGCAGATGGTGGGATTATTTTAAAGAGGTATGTAAGGTTTAACAAATATTACAGCAATATTAAGGCGAGGGACAGGAAATATTTTTCATACATTGTATCCGTGTGTGGCATCAAACGAATGCTTAAACCATCAGGCTACCACAGCGATCCGTGATGGTTGGAATTAAGCATTTTTCACACGAAGAACCTGCAAAACCAGATATCAAATTAATGGATTTCCAAATTTGATACATCAGTGACCGAAATGATGAACGATCTTTTTTCTTGTACCAATTGGTCACGTGTTTGTGTAGGTTAACACTTCATTTGCTTGAGTGGCATTTTAGATGTTGAGACGTACAATATGGAACAAGTTTTATGGATAACAACTTCTTTATTTCGTCAGTGCGACGTTTCGATGCA